CAATGATTTATTTGTTGTATGATGGCAACGTCAAACAACTGACAGCGTACGAAAGATTCGAAAGTCGAAAGCGTCTGGTCAAACAACTGACAGCGTACGAAAGATTCAAACGTCGAAAGCGTCTGACAGCGTGCGAGGATTTCTCACGTGCAAAGTGATCTCACGCGTGGATCCCGGATGATATGACAGCCATGTGATGTGCGCGTGATTGTCGTTTCAATTGTCCCGGATAATACTCTACTGCGCAGGCTTCGAGTCTTACATCCGAGAAAATTTTGGATTTTTCGCCCTACAGAGAAGAATAGTGTGCTGTCTCGCTAACGCTCGACAGCAATTATCTAATTGCCTACTGATAAAATAAATGAAATATAAGAAATTAACTTACTTTGACGCAAATCTGATTTCCCTAGATATCGGACTAGGTTTTGCCTTTGAATAAAACTGTTTAAAATTATAAGAATCATTAAAATATTCTGAAACACATTGTCACAGTAATTTGATGAAGAAAACTGGAAAAAAATTAGAATTATGTCAAAAAAGTTGATTTTTGGCAAGACCTACATGAAATTTGCGATTGCCATGGCAACGCCAAAAATCATGGACACACAATTAACATATCAAAATTTCTGCGGAGGATGAAAGTTTCAGCCACTTAGAGGAAATCGTCTTTTCAAAACTTTTAAAATACGTCAGAGGGTTAACGCTAATATGGTTATATACACTATTCTTACATCCTGTTGTCATGGTTATGGCAGGTATAGCATTTTCTAAAAACCCATGAGCAAATTCGAGATCTAATTATTAAACAAAAATGAAAGACGCCTTTGTGCTACCATTAATTCCGAAACTATACCCTCCTCATTTTGTTGTGACTAAGACGACAGAGTTGTGTTTTCGCGTATCATAACTTGTCTGTACTTTACATTATTGCAGGAAATACAACAAAATGTCACAGGATGAGCAAGCCAGGAGTTTGATGGGTGAATGGTCAAATTTTGCTGATAGTGGAGAAAAAATATGAACTTACCGAAAATAACTAACGACAATTGATTCAATGCAAAATGTGGAATATATAAACCCAATTCAACCAAAATTAAGAGTGGCACTTTCGTCATTCAATTTTGTATTTTTCTCGTGATGCAAAGTCTGGTAGTCTTTTGTAAGAGGAGATTACCTGGTAACGAACTCATCAAAATATTTTCAGACATGACATATACACTCAGTGATGGCCACGTGATTCAATTTTCTAACTTCCCGTATAAAGTACCTTTCTTAACCTCATAAGAGGATACCTAACAACGAAAAACCTCCAGAAAGAAATCCTAAGAACTGTCCCTCAGTACGTCTCGGTAGATTCGTGCAATGGAAATAGAATTATTTTCTAGGTGGGAACAGAGAAAGGAAACATTGGTAATTTGGACAGGGCCCAAATTTATTCGTACTGACTTTGTATTACCAACATTTTAAGGTTTTAAGGTAAGGATGTCCTTATACGTCAATAACAGCCCGCGTCAACTGCTTTCTTTGACGCTGTAAAGACTTTTAATTTCAACACTAGCACAAATATGCAATAACTTTGCTTTGTAATGCATGTTTTACTTTATTAGTTGACAGGCTAACGCAATGGAAGGCAGTATAAATTGCTAATAGAATGTTCTTTCTTAAGAATAACGAACAATCCTATTATAACTATTAACAAATAATGTTAGATTTTCATCAAGTTCAGATTGAACAAATCGAAAAAGATCAGTGCAATTAAGGATAAGTTGACGCACTAAGGAAACAATAGAGGAGTTCACGCTCTAAGGGCATTATGGGTAATCAGGGCAAATTTACAAAGAAGCAAAGCCATAAAACAAATGTTTATCTTTATATTTCCGTTCTGATTTCACATTTGGAGACGAAACATATATTGTAGACGGAGAAACCCTTTTTCTGGGTTTACCAGCGTTTTTGAGCCCATCGAGTGATTGTTGTGGGCGTAGGAATTTTTTTACTGTTAAAACCGAATGATTTGATCAAGTCTTAGCCGCTAAAGCCACAAAGATAACTTCTCCGTTACTCTGATAAGTAGGCTAATGCCTAGCTCAATCGACTCAAAAGCGCTACTTGATGTAGAAAAAGGTTTTCTCTATTTACAGTAAAACGTTTTTCTCGAAAATGAAACTCAGAACGGAAATATGAAAAAAACGTATATTTTGCCGCTTTGTTTCTTTGCAATCTTGTCCTGATTACCCATAATGCCCCTTAGAGCGTGAACTCATCTATAGAGTTAAATTAATAAAGGCTCCCTCCAGGCCATCATTGGTTAGGAGCTGAGTTTTCGTTTCGATTGGTCAGAGACCGATTCCAATATTTTAATAGTCGATTAGTGGCAGATTTTCAATTTTGAACTTCTGTATCCTTGGGAGTGGATGCAGGTGTAAAGTGCTATAAATTGCTTGCATTGTCTGAATTCAGTAGTTGCCAGAGAGTTACTAATTTTGAGGAACTAGGCAAAAGGTACTCTAATTCAAGCAATGAGGTGTCTTAGAACATTGAAACGTGCCGGAAAAGAGATTGAGAGCTGGAACATCAATTGTCGTGCTCTCTTTCTGGTGGAAATTAAGCATTTAAGGTACAGTGGTAGACAGTTAGTTAACTGCTGTTTACTCTTTGTTTCATATCCCCTTGAGTGCCTGTATGACGTACTCAGTAAAAGGTAAAGTCTGCATACGAGCCAAGTGGCCCATCAGGCCGGAGCTTATCCCGGTTTCTGTAGCATGAAGCGACTAGGAGTATTTCTANCAAGAACACAACACAATGTCCCCGGCCAGGGCTCGAACCCGGACCGCTCGATCCGGAGACAAGCGCACTAACCATGAGGCCACCGCGCCTCCCACAACTCAACTCAACCCGCGCCTCCCACTACTCAGTACGTCATGATTTTTGACCTTGAGGTGCCTATATGACGTACTGAGTACGTCACAATCTTAAGAGATTTAGTCAAACTCCAGGCATACCGGGAACAACTTTTATCAGCACCTGAGAATCATGGGAGATTTTTCGAGAGACTGCTCATTTCCCATTGCTGTGACGTCACATAGATATCAGCGAAATTAACCACACTGAAGAGACACTTAATGACCTTTTAGAAAATGCGCACATGTCCATAGTTTAAGTGAGAAAGCTTATAGCATTTGACGTATTTCTCTAGACATCCATTTTCAGTGAAAATGGTGTGGTACACAACGTACAAAATAGTCTGGCACGCAGGGGGATATTGATTAAAATTAATAACTGTAAACAGATCAATACGCATATATAATTTCTAATAAGATTCAAACACCTGGTGATCAATAAAATGATCCACGAATAGGTGTATTGAACGTATCTTGTCACTTGTTTTACGTGGTAAGACTCCTGTTCTTGAATGGAATTGCGACGTTGGGAAAGCAGTTTTAAAACTTAAGCAGAACAAACCTATTTTGTTGGTTACAGCGAGTGCCTCAGTGCTTGGCCGTGCATGTGATGGAATGCGATCAGCTGTCTTCTGTTGTCGAGAAGACAACCTGAAAACATCGTTAGAATTTTACCTTATACGTCTGTTAATCCTTACTGCAAGGTTTTTCGTATTTTCTTATTTCCTGTTTTGTGAACATTTATCTCTTCTTCTCTTGAAGGAAACACAGGAGGGCGAAACTTCAAACGTTCTAGAAAGCTGGCGAAAGTTTCAGGTCTCCCCACTTTGATTCTAACCAAAAGTACACGGCATGCTTGACGTCAACATTATATGAGGGTGGAAAGGGGCAAAATCATTTTCCGAAATATTGTGTCAGTGTCCCAAAAAGATTTGGGAAAGAGTTTATTTTTATGAACAAGAATCGCGTAATATTACTAAAACAAACAACAAAACGACTGCCACAAGTCAATCACAAATAAAATGCAAGTTTTACTGTCAAATACGATATTCACTTGAAAAGGGTTGGTAAAGCATACTGGTTATTATTCAAGAAGTAACCACAATTGCATATCAATTAAGTTTCGTAACTAGCTATATAATTCGAGTTTGGCCAAAAAAGCATCGTGAAGACAAAATAAACCACTAGCAAGGTAACGTGTTATCACCGTTAGACATTAGAGACACCTCAGTACAACAACACGGATTACGTACTAAATCTGTCAACAGTACAGCTGAGTTTACTGAGCATCTGTTGAACCTTTAAATCCTACATGCAGTTTTTATTTACTTTGATAGCGGCAGCTATTTAAGATAGCAGCAATTAATTTTAAATACTTACTCTTAAATACAGTGTCATATGCTACAAAACGTCCCAGGGTTCTCATGAACAATAAGAATCCAAGTTCCGCGACTTATAATATGAATCTATGAAATGCCTGGCATTCCAACGATCGTGAAAATCCTAATTGCATGACCTTGTTGTTCAGGATGTTCCACATCTTGACCTTAAAAACAATATTGAAATGTCATTGCTTGCCCTAGGCCCTGAGAAAATAACAAACCTAACTAAGCTATTTTATCATAAAAGCATTTCTATTCCACAAAAGGCTTAAGAGAAGCTTTACAAGTGTGGAATTAATGACAGCTACAATATGTACCATGTTAATTCACGGAAAACTTGTCAGCATACTCGCTGACAGTAAGGAATTCTCAAATAAATACCTAAAACAGATAATTTACAGCCAAGCACCGTATTATAATTCTGACTTAGTGCTATGGATTTTATTTTTTCACAGCTCTTAGCGTGGCTGGTTTCTTTTGTTTGTTCATTGTGGTCAGCATGAGAGAAATGTACGACGTCAACAAATCGTCCATTTTGTAACCCTGCGGAAATTTAAAAAGATAATTCGATTAAAAGGCACAATATCTTTAACTATTCTAATTAATTTCAATTCAATTCATCTTGATCTTTGTGCAATTGAAGCCATCTTACCAGTGACGTTTCACACAGAAGCCTGCTCCCTTTCACCAGACTTCCAATTGTCATGTGGAAATACGTGTTACCGCTGCTCCAGTTGGAAATTTTGGTGAACGGATAGGTAGCAAGGATATCCTGCCAAACAATAACGGGATAAACTTGAGCAACAAGACCAACATCTGACAACTTAGCGTCTGACCACTTATGCAATCAGTCGTCGGATTAAGGTGATAACTTTCCACTCGAATCCGAAGAAACGAAGGTGTTGCTTTAATTGTTACCTCAAGAAAAACATTATCCCTAATGATCATCAAATATTTCTTTTACGATTCAATGGGACACTGCTGACGCATTTGAAAAATACTTTGGTGTAAAAGAGGATTTATAATGATAACGATTTCCGGGTGATTTGCTATGTTCTCTCATGTATTCATGACGTCATCGTGTTTTGCCTTGTGGGCATACCTTAGTTCGGGGATCAATAAGGTTAACACCATTCTTGTTAATAGCAATCAAAAGATTTTCAGGGAAGTTAGGCTCTGTTGTTTGCTGAAAGACAAAAGGACAAATTGAGATTAACAAATGACTCAGCAGTATTCTAGGGCGGAAATTGTGCTTCTGTAACATGAAGCGATTGGGAGAACTGTTGCCTGTCTAGGTGGGATGCTAGTTACAGCAATTTATAAAGGTATTGTGAGAGTGCGTTGCTCATTAACATAGTACAACGTATGTGATGTTTTACTCAAAGTTAACAATTCAGGTAGCCTGCGAGCAGGCTCTTCGCGTGGCAACCGAAGGGAGAGGAAAGGGGAAGAAGTGCCTGCCCGCACCGCTTTGAATTCTGAATCGGTGCGTCCTAAATTTGGACGCAAAATACTGACTGGCTAAGATTAATACGTTGGCGACCTTATCCAACTGTGATCGGGTTCTGTTTAAGGCCGCTTGTGCCAAAATTTAAGAAAAAATTAATTTCCTTTCATTTTGAATGCAGTGGCTTCCCTGCTAGAAAGACACGATGTTCCTGCTGTGTTACACAGGACTAGCGAAAAGTCTAGTCACAGCAGGCTCTTCTTTCCTTTCTCCTTTCATATACTTTTTTCTCCACGAAGAGCCTGCTCGCAATTCAGGTAAGGCTACAATTCAGGCAATGCCTGTAGTGGTAGTAGTAATTCAGTAGTGCAAACTAGATGTGCTAGAAGAAGAAACAAACAGCCTGTGTTGATCGTCGTTATCCAGGACTAATGCGTTAACAAGCCAGTTGATAGCGTTCTTCGCGTTTGATTCATTACAAGAAAGCCCGTAATATTGCAACACAACAGTTGTAGTTCACAATTACTTCTTGTTACCTTAACTTCAAAAAACGCTGAGCCGAACGTTGGCCATCTGTAAATGATCCTCAGGAAAGAAACCTTGGCATCATTCTTTGACTTGCCTGCATGTTTATTGAACGCTGCAACTATGGCCTGGCAATAATAAAAAAAAGAGTTCGAGTAATCATACAGAAAGAAATGATTGAATAGAGCTGCAATAACAAACTGAACAGATGCGAGAGTAACAAACCCTCTTCCAATCATCTGGGGACTGGTCTCTACTCAGGTCAGGTGGAATGAGCTCACGTAACATCTTACTGTGCGAATAAAACAAAACAGACAAACTGGAATCTTTGTATCGCTTGTCACTGACTTCTTAGTTGCGGAACAACGTTATAACAAGAAGATATCAGCAAAGACCGGCCGGTAGTTAGGAGAGTTATATATAAAGTTTGAAATTTTACAAATCAAAACAAAGCAACTTCAGTTGACGACTTGCTAGAAAAGGTATATCAAACACTTACTAGAACAACAGCCACAAACAAACAACAAATAAAAAAACTAAGTACTCTCACGTTCGTGGACTTCAAGTAAGCACTTAACTCAATATAACAACGTACTCTTAAACGTCGACGACACTGAACACCATTTAACAAGTGAGGGTTAGTAGTGCTTACGGTATGCTGGGGAATTCTCGTTTGTCCTCGCCGAATCGCACCCTGTAGATAAGAGCTGCTAGCTGACTCGCTTCTTCCTTGGTGCATTTATGGTAGCCTCTTAAGTATTTTGGTAACTCCTGAATCAAACACAGGAATTTTGTTAACAAAAGCGACAGCTGTCAAAATACAGCATAAAAGGATTCACGAGAAGATTCCCGAGAAGTCTGCATACCTGGTGATAATGAAATATTGTGTCAGCGGCAACATCCTTTGAAACTACTGTTGTTGACCATAACTTCTTCATAAAGAAAACTTGATAAGTCAAGTTTGGCAGCTGACCTGTAGAGCCAATGCGTGAAAAACTTTACTTTTGAGCAAATGAAGCGTTGAAAACACAAACGAAGATACTATTAACATATGAACTAAAAGTAACAACTAGAAAACTGTACCTTCACGAGTAGGCCTGGCCTTTTTCAGCCACTCCGTTAGATGTCTCACAAAGTCAAAGAAGAAATCTCCTTCAGGAACGCTGATGACTGTAAATATATAGCTTATTGACACCAAGCTCAGGAAATCGAAAGAAACAAGCAGATCTAATATAGAGATTTAGCTAAGCCTAAAGCAGAGCTTCGTCCGGGTTGATCAAAGCCCGATTAAGCTAACGCAGGATAAGTTTTGTAACTTTGCGGTGAGGTTTCTGTTTACATTGTTTGGCCGCGGCCTTCTGTTTTGAGTTTGAATAACCCCAAACTACACAAAACATAAGCTGTGAAAAACATTATTAAACAAGAAAATTTTGTGCTTTAATCCTGCGTTAGCGTTAACTTGCCCCGATTACAACAAGTTAGCCTCGGTTGAGCCTGCGATCCAATCAAAACCAAGACTTGGTCAGCGGTCAACTTCAAAAAACATTTGACCTCAATAAGCTTTAAACTTGAGCCCGCGATATGGTCACGTGATACTGGTCAGCGGATACCTTGTAAGTGTCAATTGACTATAACCAGGAGGGAGAGGTGAACACGTCAGATTTGGCTGACCCTATGATCATGGCCATTATGACGTCACGGCGAAAGAAGCGCGCAAAATGCACAAAATTTT